CTCATGCTGTTCTCCTGTAGTGGCACCTCCTTGATCCTTCGGGAATGGATTAGTGCTACCCCCTCATGCTGTTCTCCTGTAGTGGCACCTCCTTGTCCCTCTTCCTCCGCTCTGGCCGTATAAAACGTGCCTACTTCCCTTTCCCTTTCTGCCATGATGGAAAGTTTCCCCAGGCCTCTCCGGATGCTGAGCAGATGCCGGCACCACGCTTCCTGTATAGCCTGCGGAATCGTGAGCCAATGAAGCCTCTTCTTTATAAAGTATCCAGTCTCAGGTGTTTCTTTATAGCAGTGCGAGACTACACTAGTACACCCTTGAGCAAACTCGGTATGGTTCCTGAGCTTGAGGCTGCATCTAGGATGACCCCAGCCTCCTAAGTGCCTGCTCCAAAGAGCTGAGCATGGCCAGGGCATTTGCCCCTCGTTCCCGCCCAAACCTGGAGTGGACGATCACTGCAGGAAGCTTGCAATCACACACCTTCCACCCCCGGGACTATCTCAAGGCCCTGGGCCATGACGCCCGGAGAGACGGCCTGTTCTTGCTCCCAGGGTGGCCGGTGTGAGGACCTGACTTTGGAGGGGGTCTTGCTCTACCCTGCACCCCCTCATGAAGACACCCCAAGTTTGTCCACCTCTGGATAAGGCCAACTGGCACCGTGGGGGGGGTCCTTGCATGGAGCAGCTCCTCATGCCCAGCACACCAGGCCTCAAAGTCACTCCTGTGTTTGGTTTCAGCAGAACTGGGTCCAGTTCACACTGGACTTTCTTCCCTGCTAGAAAAGTCTGTCCAAATACAATCCATCCGCACCACCTTCCCTGCCTTTCCCACCCTCTTTTCCATGGCTCAGGCTGGGGTCTGCTCCCCTTCAAGCCCAGAGCTGACCCCTGAGATGAGAGGGAGCGAAAGGCACAGAAAAGAGAGGCAGGTCCCCCAGGATCCCCCACTGACGCATGGCCACAGCAGTCAGAGGAGCCCCTGACAGAGGCATGGCCACAGCAGCTGGAGGAGCCCCTCAACCCAGGCACGGTCACAGCATCCAGAGGAGCCCCCGAAAGAGGCACAGCCATGGCAGCTGGAGGAGCCCTCCAACCCAGGCATGGCCATAGCAGCCGGAGGAGCCCTCCAACCCAGGCATGGCCACAGCAGCCAGAGGAGCCCCCCAACCCAGGCATGGCCACAGGAGCTGGAGGAGCTCCCACAGAGGCACGGCCACAGCAGCAAGAGGAGCCCCCCAACCCAGGAATGGCCAGGGCAGCCGGAAGAGTCCTCAGGCCTGAGGGCAGTGAGGGGCAGTGGGAGCTGGGGGGTTCCATCCTCTCCCCTGTAACAGGTGTCACGGGAAAGCACCTGACTGCTGCCTGGGATCAGGGACTTCCTCTCCAGCCAGGGTGGGCACCTCTCCGCACCTCAAGCCTCCCTGGCCCCCAGCCCTCCCCCTCAGTGCCCAGCATGGCCTGAGCTGACCTCCTGTTCCTACCAAGGCAACGAGCTCTGAACGGGCACAGAGCTGGCCAGCCTCAGCCCTGGACCCTTCCCTAGCACCCACAGGACCTGGCAGTGATGGATGCTCCCAGCTCCCTGAAGCTCCTGATACTGAGTGGCAGCCACACTGGGACCACCTCACCCTCAGCCCAGGCAATGCCCTCCCCATGCCCTGCCAGGCTCCCAGCTTCACCTCCATCACTGCTGCTGGTGGTCCTTCCCCATAGGAAGCCTCCTGCCCTCCACAGGACCCCAAGCCTGGGCCACTCTGGGCACTCTACACCCAGCCATGTGGGCACCTCCCTGACCTCTCCCTCTTCCAGCCACATGACCTGCCTTGACAAACGCCCTCAATCCCGAGACCCTGTCAGGACGGCCATGAACGTCCTTCCTCCACCTGGCCTGTCGCCCTCAGAGCCTCCCAGGCCTGGCCGCCCCTGCCCTCTGCTGCTGCTACCGGTGTGAGTGTCCCTCTCCCATGACAGAGACTAGGACCACCAGTACATCACCACAGGTGGACCAGTCACCAAATTAACCAAAGACAGAGACCACCCAGGCAGATCCCTCTGACAGCACGTCACCAGGCTGGTCCCAGCCCATGCAGTCCTTAGGGCAGAGAGAGGACTGGGGCCACTCTCTTCTGACACAAGTGGCTAAACACGTCCTGTGTTTATCTTAAAAAACAGCCCCAGTGGCTCACACCTGTAATCCTAGCACTTGGAGAGGTGGAAGCAGGAGATGGCTTGACCCCCAGGAGTTGGGGGCTGCAGTGAGCCATGATTGTACTGCCGCACTCCAGCCTGGGTGACAGAGCAAAACCCGTCTCAAAAATTAAACTTAAACACACACACACACACACACACACACACACACACACTGTAACTCAGTGAACCTGTTTCTAATGAAACTATAAAAATGCACATCACAAAAAGCACTCACAGGTAGGAGCAGCCTCTGGCGGCCGTGACGTTGAGTGCGGGGAAGGCGTAGATGACGAAGCGCAGCTCCTTATGAGGCAGGAGGGAGTACAGTGCCACAAAGCCGAGAGCCGCCACTGTCAACGCGTGCATCCTTCTGTCCATCAATCCCAGTGGGACGAAGAGCAGGCTGCAGCCCAGGCCGCGAGGCAGGGCTGAGTAGAAGTACCACAGCAGCGGGGAGGTCTGTGGGCTGGGTTAAGGAGGCCACGCATTGGCCCACACACCTGTCCACGCACGCGCCCACGGGCTGGGTGGCAGGGTCAAGGCGGAGAAGATGTCTGGAAGACAGTTGTGCTAAGGGACGCAGCCCGGGCACAGCAGGGGGGCAGAGACACAGCCCAGGCCACAGCTCGGGTGCACAGACACCACTTGGGCCCCAGACCCTGGGCCCCTCCTAAGAGACACAGCCCAGGCCATGCCTTGGGTGCACAGACACCACTTGGGCCCCAGGCCCTGGGCCCCTCCTAAGAGACACAGCCCAGGCCATGCCTTGAGTGCACAGACACCACTCGGGCCTTGGGCCCCTCATAAGAGACACAGCCAAGGCCATGGCTCATGTGCACAGACACCACTTGGTTCTTGGGCCCCCTCCTAAGAGACACAGCCCAGGCCACGGCTCGGGTGCACAGACACAGCTAGGGCCCTGGGCCCCTCCGGGAAGGACCAAGGCAGCCATGGCTGCGGGAGGTTTGGTCTCTGCCCCCTTTCCTTCACTGGTAGAAACAGACAGTCACGGGTGACACACGTGTCGGGGATTAATTATGACGTTTCATCTACTTCTGTATGTTTGACATACTTCCTAAGAAAGTGCATTTTAAATGCAGATTGTCCAGGCCAGCACAGTGGCTCATGCCTGTAATCCCAGCACTTTGGGAGGCCAAGGTGGGCAGATCACCTAAGTTCAGGAGTTCGAGATCAGCCTGACCAACATGGTGAAACCCCATCTCTACTAAAAATACAAAAATTAGCTGGGCGTGGTGGTAGGTGCCTGTAATCCCAGCTACTCGTGAGGTTAAGGCAGGAGAATCACTTGAACCCGGGAGGCGGAGGTTGCAGTGAGCTGAGATCATGCCACTGCACACCAGCCTGGGTGACAGAGCGAGACTTCATCTCAAAAACAAACAAACAAACAGATTTTCAGAGGAACAGAGAAGAGGCTGGAGCAATTGGGTGGGGCTGTTTCCACAAGACAGAGAGGGCAGCTGGGACCTCACCCCCTATGACCAGCATTTCCTAGGAGCAAGTGAGAGGGAGGGGCTCCGTCCTGACCCTGACGCTGCTCCCACCACCCAAGGAATCCCAGGAGGTGTGGCTATGTGTCCCACTCATCACCCCCCTGCACGGACACTGAAGGATACCCCCAAGGAGGCCCAGGAGGTGTGTCTGGGGGTCCCACCCACCACCCCCCTGCACGGACACTGAAGGATACCCCCAAGGAGGCCAGGAGGTGTGTCTGGGGGTCCCACCCACCACCCCCCTGCACAGACACTGAAGGATACCCCCACAGAGGCCCAGGAGGTGTGTCTGGGGGTTCCCACCCACTCATCGCCCCCCTGCATGGACACCGAAGGATACCCCCAAGGAGGCCCAGGAGGTGTGTCTGGGGGTCCCACCCACCACCCCCCTGCAAGGACACTGAAGGATACCCCCACGGAGGCCCAGGAGGTGTGTCTGGGGGTCCCACCCACTTGTCACCCCCCTGCACAGACACTGAAGGATACCCCCAAGGAGGCCAGGAGGTGTGTCTGGGGGTCCCACCCACTCATCACCCCCCTGCACGGACACTGAAGGATACCCCCAANGAGGCCCAGGAACAGGCACAGCTCTGCCCTGAACACGATGATGGCGAAGGCCGACAGCCAGATGAAGCGGGCCCACCCATGCCCCAGCCAGGCAGGGGGGTGCTCGTCAGACACGCCCCACCCCCACCCCCACCCCCACCCAGGAAACACCCAGGGAAGTGAAAGATGATTCCTTTTCTTATTACAAATGTCACATAGATATCCCAGAAAACAAATTGCTCAGAGCCACATCCCCAACTACTGTTGGCTAGGAAGTGCATCCCAACCCAGCATGGAAAACAGCCCAGTTTCAGGTCACAGACCGTCTTGAGTCCTGGGGAACTCAGCAGGGAGTGGCCATCACTGGGGAGGCACTGCTATAGGACCCACAGCCCCCAACTCAGGAGAGCTCCCACCCAGCACCACAGGTGTGCAGGCCTGGCCAGCAGCTACGTACCCACAGGCAGGACCAGCACGTTGGGCAGTGTCCGCGTGCAGTAGAACATCAGGTGGAACTGCAAGGCCGTCACCCAGCAGAACATGGTGGCCACCATGGCCCCAAACTGCCGTCTCACTTCCTTTTGTAATGTCCAGAGTCCAAAAATCACACCAAGTCCAAGCACTCCTCTAACTAAACAAAGACAGCAACAGCACATGAGCCTGTGCAGAACATCTGCGGATCCTTCTACGTGGATCTACGTGGTTCCTTCTACGTGGCTCTTTCTACGTGGCTCCCTACGTGGATCTTTCTATGCTGCTACAATGCCAGATGACAGCCAAGTCAGGCAAAGCAACCTGAGGGCATTGTCTCTGTGCGGAAAACAGACATCTGGCCTCAGGCCCCCTGCGCTCCTGTCAGGAGCTGTGATGCCCAAGCCTGGTGCCACAAGGGCTCTTGGGGGGCTGCTCTCTGAAGTGTCATGGGGGACACAGTGCCAGGGGGTGCCATGAGCTGAGCCCTAAACTAGACCAGAGATTCCCCCAGGGCTGTGACACCTCTAGGGGCCATGTTTGTGAGAGCCAGGCTCAGACCTTGCTCTGACCAGCGGCCGTCAGGAGGCTGGAACACAGGCTCCCAGGCAGGAAGGGTGTCAGGAGCCTCCTCCTCATTCAACGGCAGGGGCCACCTCTGGGCTGGTGGTCTTAAGAGTGACGGTGAGGGGACAGACAGGTGTGCCCAGGACAGTACCTGGCAGACCACACATCTTCACCGTGGACCGGCCTGTCAGTTGCTGGCAAGAGAGGCTGAAAACAGGAAGGAAAATGAACTTCTGGGATGCTCTCACCACCTTTCCAGAAGGCCAGAGGGGCTTGAAAGCCCACTCAAGACGCAACTGGGTCCAGCAGCTGTGGGAGCCAACAGGCAGAGACACCCAGGTGACAGCCCAGGGGGCCACAGATGTGTCAGTGCTGGGCCTGCTGTTCCCATAGCAGCCCATGTGCAGACCAGACATTTTCTTTTCACTAATCGCTGAATTCAGACTGCATTTTTTTTTTTTTTTTAGGAAGAGTTTCCCTCTGTTGCCCAGTCTGGAGTGCAGCGTCACAATCTCAGCTCACTGCAACCTCCACCTCCCAGGTTCAAGCAATTCTACTGCAGCCTCCCAAGCAGCTGAGATTACGGGTGTGCACCACCATGCCCAGCTAATTTTTGTATTTTTAATAGAGATAAGGTTTTGCCATGTTGGCCAGGGTGGTTTTAAACTCTTGACCTCCGGTGATCCAACCGCCTCAGCCTCCCAAAGTGCTGGAATTATAGGTGTGAGCCATCATGCCCAGCCTGAATGTGTAAAAGGATATTTTTCACCGACACCCATAAGTGGGTCTGGCTCTAGCTGCTGTTATTTTTGGTGCTGGAATTCCCTCAGGGCTTTAAAATAATTCACAGACCCCGGTAAAGCCCCCGCTTCCCCTTTTTCCCATCAGATCCATCTCCTGTGTCTCTTCTCTTGGTTTTCCATCTTCCCAAATGTCCGATGACCTCAACCCAGTGCCCAGCAAGGACGGTCTATGAAGCCATGCAGACAGCCTCAGCCCCAGGATGACATGCTCTTTGTCCACAGAGGAAATATTTGGGCCTATGGCAGGGGCTGGGGGGCACTAGCAATTCCAGGACATCTTAGTGAGATCAGGAAGGACACAGGGTGAGCTCCCGTTCACCGGCTGAAGCTGCAGTCCTCCGAAGTTTTGTCCAACCAGAGTCTGCATAGCTCTGCCCAAACTCCCAGCCTCTCACTGCCACCCCTGGAATAAGCAGAAGCTTCCGGGGAAAGTGGACCCAGCTCTGGACTAGCCTGTGGACTTTCTTTCCCTGGCTCGTCGCCCCCCAACTCCTCCCCATTTGGGGCTCCCCAACGCCTCCACAGGACGAGCACAGCTTGTCCAGCTGTCCCTGTGCTGTGGTGGGTTTCCACTCCCAACATGCCCCTTCAGGAAGAGGAAATGCTCCTTCCCTCAGCATGCATGCGTCGTAAGCTCTCCAGGCAGGCTGGGAGGACCCGCTGGAAGCATGCATTCGAGTCAGCTGGGAAAATCTAACTACAGTCTGCGTATTAAATGCAGACTGAAAAATGTAATGAAACGAAAAGGTGGTGACTGCTGACTTTAAAAACTCAGGTTGTGTGACTGGGCATGGTGGCTCATGCCTGGAATCAGCACTGTGGGAGGCTGAGGTAGGAGAATCACCTGCGCCCAGGAGTTCAAAGCTGCAGTGAGCTATGACTGCACCACTGCTCTCCAGCCAAGGTCACAGAGCAAGGCCCTGTCTCAAAAAACAAAACAAAAAAAACCCCATTTGTAGAACAGTATGTACAAAATGTTCTGATTTTTTTTTTTTAAGTTCTCATGTGGGCACAGAAAGACGGAGGATGTGCACAGGCCCTGCAGTGGCAGCCTCTGGGAATGTCAGGTTTCTGTTTGTAATGTTCCCCAAGGCTAATGAGGCTGTTTCTGTAGGACTAACGACCGTCTACCCCACAGGGGCGCACCAGGTGAGGTGGGAGCTGCGGCGGTGAGGTGGTAAGAGCTGCCTCACAGGCAGATGGCGCTTCTCCTGTACCTGCCCTGGGGAGTGGGTGCTGTCATCCCTAATTTCACAGTCGAGAGTGTGGAAGCACAGAGGGGCTGGCTGAGTTGTCCCCAGGCCTGACCCGGGCACCTGCTCTGAGCCACCAGGCCACGGTGACCAAGAGCAGGCAAGGCTGTAAAAGATGGCGTTCCTGAATGGAGGAGCCTCAGCCTCCATTCAGGAAGGATTGTCAGGAAGGTGTCATCAGTGAGGTCACCCAATGACACCACAATCCTTCATTCCCTCCTCTTTCACTGAAGACCCCCTTACCTATTAGCTGAGAGTAAAACTTGGATGTCTCCAACAGCGAAAGCACGTAAACTGCGGGACTGGACAACGTGGCAATCACCACCGGCCCGAGGAAGGTCCTGGGGACGACCCCAGGGAACTCGAGATGGTCGTACTGTGAGGAGAAGGGCAGGTCAGCGCACAGGGCCCTGCGAGCTGGAAACAGGAGGTTTTCCCCAAAGACAGCAGGGCCTCACCTGCCCCAGGGCCTGCCGGTAGTAGAGCAGGTCATGCGTGGCCTGCAGGGCGAAGCTCTCCTCCACTTTGGTGTAGGGACAGGTGACCAGATGGATAGTGGCTATGGCCACCAGTAGCCCCAGCAGCAGGGGCCACCTGCCTGATGACCTCTTTCCAGCCATTTGGGGCTTACAACTTCAGGCACCTTCACAGAACCAAGGGTGCGAGACAGCAGCTGTTAGCACTGCCACTCCAAGGATGCTGAAAGAGTGAAAACACAGATTCCCGCATTCCAAAAGCCATGCTTGTGCTCCTGGTTGGGAGGTCTGGGTAAAAGGTTAGCAAGAATTCTGTCTTAGTCACACTACTACAAATCGCACTTGAGAGGCTTTCATAGCGTAACCAGTGATTGTGCACTGCCAGCTCTGTGACTGTTTTCCTGGGGAGAAGGGCTCAGTCGTAGAACACTGAGTCTGACCAGGCCTGGGCCATGAGATCAATGGAGAGTGTAAATGCCCCTGCCCCCCAGTCTAAATCTGGCAGGAAAGTCAGCAAAACCCAGGCTCAGCCCCAAGGGAACCTGAGGAAGAGGGAATGGAGGCTGAGGGGGGCTGGTAAGCTGGGTGGGAGGCACGAAGCCAGAGGGTGGCAGACAGGGGCCCCAAGAGGACAGGGGGCCGTACACAGCACAGCTGCCAGGACACAGGGCTCAGATGGCCAGCAAAGCCCCCACTCCCAGGAATGGTGAGGTGGGGCTGTGGATGCCTGCACAGAACCCCACCCTGGGGACTGGGAGAAGCCATGACTGGCTTTCCCAAAGGCGGTGCCACACTGGCCGTGAGCCTGCACAGGTGCCCTGGGGAGACTGGCAATGGGTCCCCTAAACACTAACAGGCCAACCTCAGGGGGCCCATGGCATGGCGCTTTCTGAGAAACCATCAACGTGTCCCCCTGCTACACGTGGGATGCCGAGGGAGGGGAGGTGGCAAGTTCTTCACGCTTCTGGCTTCTTTTAAAACAGGTTTGATTTTATTCAATCCAAACCAGAAGGGCCAGAAGCAAAGGGGGAGAGAACCCCAGGCTTTCAATTTGTTACAATTACTAAAAAAAAAAAAAAATTTAAGAGACAGTGTCTTACTCTGTCACTCAAGCTGGAGTGCAGCGGCGTGATGATGGCTCCCTGCAGCCTCAAACTCCTGGGATCCTTTTGCCCCAGACTCCTGAGTAGCCGGGGACACAGGTGTGTGTTACCACACTCAGCTAAGTTCTCTTACTTTTTTGTAAAGATGGGGTTTTGCTTTGTCACCAGGCTGGTACGGAATTCCTGGCTTCAGGCAATCTTTCCACCTCAGCCTCCTGAAGTACTAGGATTTCAGGCGTGAGCCACTGTGCTCAGTCAAAACTACCTTCTGATCAAACGGAGAGTTAAGAAGTCTACTGTAAAAAGATAGCATGCAAAAAAAAATCTGTAGATGAGAAGAAAGAGGAATCCTACTGATATGGTAGAGGTGGGAGTAAAGAGAAACAAGAGAGAAAGCTTTAATAATTTTACAATGACTAAAACAGTACAAAGTTCTTGTTAGAAATAGCGTAGACCTTTCTTTCCTTTGCCAAATATAAAAACCTGGGACCGGGTACAGTGGCTCATGCCTGTCATCCTTGCACTTTGGGAAGCTGAGGTGGGGTGGATCACCAGAGGTCAGGAGTTGGAGACCAGCCTGGCCAACATGGTGAAACCCCGTCTCTGCTAAAAATACAAAAAATAGCCGGGTGTGGTGGCACACGCCTGTAATCCCAGCTACTTGGGAAGCTAAGGCAGGAGAATCGCTTGACCCCAGGGGACAAAGGCTGCAGTGAGTTGAGATCGTGCCACTGAAATCCAGTTTGGGCCACAGAGCACAATTCCGTCTCAAAAATAAATAAATAAATAATAAAAAATTTAAAAAATTAAACTTGGTATCAAACAAAAAGATGGAAGGACTAGGTGAGGAGCCACTGTCCACCAGGTGAGGGAGGGGCTACTCAACTGTCTCCCACTTGCTAAGACACAAGTTTTTGACGGTGGGGGATTTTCTATGATGGATTTCTCTTCCCCCACCAGTGCAGCCTCAGCACCAAGGACAGAGACTGGCCACTGTGGTCTGAAGGGTGCCCCTCTGCCACCTCCCCTGCTGGACAGGCTTGATTGGTGGACTCAGCAAGTGCTGCTTCGCAGGAACCCCTGACATGGGCAGTCCTTGCCACCCCACTCCACGCCTCCACCCAGAGGATTTCCCCAGCAAATAAAAGTTCAGCTGTGGGATGAAAACGTTATGTGCGGACTCTGACCCTCCTGGCAGGCCCCGAGCACCTCCTCAGACCCGACACGGGTGTGCTTTCTGCTGACGACCAGTGCAGCTCACTTTCAAAGGCACGAGAAAACCAAGGGTGAGTCTGGATGCTCTGCCAGGGGCGCAGGAAGACCAAGTCAACACTGGCAAGTGTGAAAACCACGACTAAGTCCCCACCGGGCAAGGGTGAGTGGACGCTGTCCTGTGCTCTGGTCAGCATCTGCAGCTAATCTAAATAAAAGATGCCTTGGGAGTACCCACAGGTTAAAACAGGCCCAGGCCATGACGCTTTAAAACTGTGGTTTACAAACAATAGCCTCTCAGATTAGGGAATGACCTGCAAAGTCCCTCTTGTCCCATCAGTTCAGGTTTTTTGTTGTTGTTGAGACAGTCTCACTCTGTTGCCAGGAGCCAGGCTGGAGTGCAGGGGCACAATCTCGGCTCACTGCAACCTCTGCCTCCCAGGTTCAACCAATTATCCTGCCCCGGCCTCCCGAGTGGCTGGGACTACAGGTGCGTGACACCACGCTCAGCTAATTTTTTGTATTTTTAGCAGATATGGGGTTTCACCATGTTGGCCAGGATGGTCTCAATCTCTTGACCTCATGATCCGCCTGCCTCGGCCTCTCAAAGTGTTGGAATTACAGGCGTGAGCCACTGCGCCCGGCCATCAGTTCAGATTTTAAGGGCTCTACTGAAATTGGTCAAATTAGATCAGGTGTGGTGGCTCTACTAAAAATATAAAAATTAGCCAGGGTGGTGGCCGGCTCCTACAATCCCAGCTACTTAGGAAGCTGAGGCAGAAGAACCACTGGAACCCAGGAGGGAGGGTTTCCAGTAAGCCAAGATCACACCACTGCACTCCAGCTTGGGCAACAGAGCAAGACTCCGTCTCAAACTGGTCAAATCAGATATTACTGTTATTAATAACAATAATTAGCCTCAGTAGGAAACACAAATGATCCGACAGAAATCACACCTGCTGCCCACCAAGGGCCAGAGGAAACCGTGTTATCTGCGCTCCTTCCTTCCACAGGCAGGAGTTCTCTGAAATCCAGATGCTGCATATTTTATTACCTCTAATTTAAACCAGGGATTCCTGAACATTAGCGAGTGTCCATCACCTCAAGCGCCTGTAGAAATGCAGACCCCCAGCCTGAGGTGGAAGGTCCAGCCCCCAAGTGAAAAACCCATCTCCCACGTGAGGAGACCAGCCCCAGGTGGGAGTCTAGCTCCCAGGTGAGAGGTCCAGTCCCCAGGTGAGAGGTCCAGTCCCCAGGTGAGGGGTACAGCACCCAGGTGAGGGATCCAGACCCTAGGTGAGAAGTCCAGTCCCTAGGTGAGAGGTCCCAGGTGAGGAGCCCGGGCCTAGGTGAGGGGTACGGCCCCCAGGTGAGAGGTCCGGCCTCTAGGTNGTGTCTGGGGGTTCCCACCCACTCATCGCCCCCCTGCACAGACACTGAAGGATACCCCCAAGGAGGCCAGGAGGTGTGTCTGGGGGTTCCCACCCGCTCATCGCCCCCCTGCACAGACACTGAAGGATACCCCCACGGAGGCCCAGGAGGTGTGTCTGGGGGTCCCACTCATCACCCCCCTGCACGGACACTGAAGGATACCCCCCAGTTGGAGCTTCTGTTTAGGACAGTGTTGTACCAAAGCACTTTTCCTTCTGGCCACGTGAGCTGCCGCCAAAAATAAGAGTCCACAGCGACTGTCAGCCCTGATAAAATTAAACAGCATTTCTCAGCCAAGAACACAACCATCAGTAGACACCCTGCCACAGTGCAGCCACCATCACCACAGAAGCTGCAAGCTGCTTTCACATGAGAGAGGTTGGGCTGGTGGGAAGAATGCCGGAGCCTAGGAGTTCAAGGCTGAAGTGGGCTGTGATCATGCCGCTGCACTCTATCCTAGGTGACAGAGCAAGACTCTGTCTCTAAAGCAAAGAAAAACAGAAGAAAGATGCTAACTGTGTTGAGGACGACGCTGCCCTGAACCACCGCCTCAGCCTGGTGCAGGGACAAGCCACCCTCCGCTCCTGTGGCCTCCCCTGGCCTTGGCCAAGGACAAGGGACAGACCAGTGAATAGGGGCTCCCAAGGCGCAGAAGGCTTAGGATCGAGATGTTTTAACGCTACTAAAGTTAGGGTAATTTTATTCCATGGAGAAGAAAACCTCCGAAATTTCGCTGACCTTTATCAAACAAGGCAGGACAAATTTCAGTTAGAAGCATCCCACAGCAAGACTTACCTAAACAGAGGACCCCGGCTGGGATGGCGTGGCGAAGGGCTCTGACCACAGAAACCTTTCGGCTGCCCAAAGTGAGCAGCAGCAGGAGGCCCAGGAACAGGCACAGCTCTGCCCTGAACACGATGATGGCGAAGGCCGACAGCCAGATGAAGCGGGCCCACCCATGCCCCAGCCAGGCAGAGAGGGGCTCGTCAGACACGCCCCACCCCCACCCCCACCCCCACCCAGGAAACACCCAGGGAAGTGAAAGATGATTCCTTTTCTTATTACAAATGTCACATAGATATCCCAGAAAACAAATTGCTCAGAGCCACATCCCCAACTACTGTTGGCTAGGAAGTGCATCCCAACCCAGCATGGAAAACAGCCCAGTTTCAGGTCACAGACCGTCTTGAGTCCTGGGGAACTCAGCAGGGAGTGGCCATCACTGGGGAGGCACTGCTATAGGACCCACAGCCCCCAACTCAGGAGAGCTCCCACCCAGCACCACAGGTGTGCAGGCCTGGCCAGCAGCTACGTACCCACAGGCAGGACCAGCACGTTGGGCAGTGTCCGCGTGCAGTAGAACATCAGGTGGAACTGCAAGGCCGTCACCCAGCAGAACATGGTGGCCACCATGGCCCCAAACTGCCGTCTCACTTCCTTTTGTAATGTCCAGAGTCCAAAAATCACACCAAGTCCAAGCACTCCTCTAACTAAACAAAGACAGCAACAGCACATGAGCCTGTGCAGAACATCTGCGGATCCTTCTACGTGGATCTACGTGGTTCCTTCTACGTGGCTCTTTCTACGTGGCTCCCTACGTGGATCTTTCTATGCTGCTACAATGCCAGATGACAGCCAAGTCAGGCAAAGCAACCTGAGGGCATTGTCTCTGTGCGGAAAACAGACATCTGGCCTCAGGCCCCCTGCGCTCCTGTCAGGAGCTGTGATGCCCAAGCCTGGTGCCACAAGGGCTCTTGGGGGGCTGCTCTCTGAAGTGTCATGGGGGACACAGTGCCAGGGGGTGCCATGAGCTGAGCCCTAAACTAGACCAGAGATTCCCCCAGGGCTGTGACACCTCTAGGGGCCATGTTTGTGAGAGCCAGGCTCAGACCTTGCTCTGACCAGCGGCCGTCAGGAGGCTGGAACACAGGCTCCCAGGCAGGAAGGGTGTCAGGAGCCTCCTCCTCATTCAACGGCAGGGGCCACCTCTGGGCTGGTGGTCTTAAGAGTGACGGTGAGGGGACAGACAGGTGTGCCCAGGACAGTACCTGGCAGACCACACATCTTCACCGTGGACCGGCCTGTCAGTTGCTGGCAAGAGAGGCTGAAAACAGGAAGGAAAATGAACTTCTGGGATGCTCTCACCACCTTTCCAGAAGGCCAGAGGGGCTTGAAAGCCCACTCAAGACGCAACTGGGTCCAGCAGCTGTGGGAGCCAACAGGCAGAGACACCCAGGTGACAGCCCAGGGGGCCACAGATGTGTCAGTGCTGGGCCTGCTGTTCCCATAGCAGCCCATGTGCAGACCAGACATTTTCTTTTCACTAATCGCTGAATTCAGACTGCATTTTTTTTTTTTTTTTAGGAAGAGTTTCCCTCTGTTGCCCAGTCTGGAGTGCAGCGTCACAATCTCAGCTCACTGCAACCTCCACCTCCCAGGTTCAAGCAATTCTACTGCAGCCTCCCAAGCAGCTGAGATTACGGGTGTGCACCACCATGCCCAGCTAATTTTTGTATTTTTAATAGAGATAAGGTTTTGCCATGTTGGCCAGGGTGGTTTTAAACTCTTGACCTCCGGTGATCCAACCGCCTCAGCCTCCCAAAGTGCTGGAATTATAGGTGTGAGCCATCATGCCCAGCCTGAATGTGTAAAAGGATATTTTTCACCGACACCCATAAGTGGGTCTGGCTCTAGCTGCTGTTATTTTTGGTGCTGGAATTCCCTCAGGGCTTTAAAATAATTCACAGACCCCGGTAAAGCCCCCGCTTCCCCTTTTTCCCATCAGATCCATCTCCTGTGTCTCTTCTCTTGGTTTTCCATCTTCCCAAATGTCCGATGACCTCAACCCAGTGCCCAGCAAGGACGGTCTATGAAGCCATGCAGACAGCCTCAGCCCCAGGATGACATGCTCTTTGTCCACAGAGGAAATATTTGGGCCTATGGCAGGGGCTGGGGGGCACTAGCAATTCCAGGACATCTTAGTGAGATCAGGAAGGACACAGGGTGAGCTCCCGTTCACCGGCTGAAGCTGCAGTCCTCCGAAGTTTTGTCCAACCAGAGTCTGCATAGCTCTGCCCAAACTCCCAGCCTCTCACTGCCACCCCTGGAATAAGCAGAAGCTTCCGGGGAAAGTGGACCCAGCTCTGGACTAGCCTGTGGACTTTCTTTCCCTGGCTCGTCGCCCCCCAACTCCTCCCCATTTGGGGCTCCCCAACGCCTCCACAGGACGAGCACAGCTTGTCCAGCTGTCCCTGTGCTGTGGTGGGTTTCCACTCCCAACATGCCCCTTCAGGAAGAGGAAATGCTCCTTCCCTCAGCATGCATGCGTCGTAAGCTCTCCAGGCAGGCTGGGAGGACCCGCTGGAAGCATGCATTCGAGTCAGCTGGGAAAATCTAACTACAGTCTGCGTATTAAATGCAGACTGAAAAATGTAATGAAACGAAAAGGTGGTGACTGCTGACTTTAAAAACTCAGGTTGTGTGACTGGGCATGGTGGCTCATGCCTGGAATCAGCACTGTGGGAGGCTGAGGTAGGAGAATCACCTGCGCCCAGGAGTTCAAAGCTGCAGTGAGCTATGACTGCACCACTGCTCTCCAGCCAAGGTCACAGAGCAAGGCCCTGTCTCAAAAAACAAAACAAAAAAAACCCCATTTGTAGAACAGTATGTACAAAATGTTCTGATTTTTTTTTTTTAAGTTCTCATGTGGGCACAGAAAGACGGAGGATGTGCACAGGCCCTGCAGTGGCAGCCTCTGGGAATGTCAGGTTTCTGTTTGTAATGTTCCCCAAGGCTAATGAGGCTGTTTCTGTAGGACTAACGACCGTCTACCCCACAGGGGCGCACCAGGTGAGGTGGGAGCTGCGGCGGTGAGGTGGTAAGAGCTGCCTCACAGGCAGATGGCGCTTCTCCTGTACCTGCCCTGGGGAGTGGGTGCTGTCATCCCTAATTTCACAGTCGAGAGTGTGGAAGCACAGAGGGGCTGGCTGAGTTGTCCCCAGGCCTGACCCGGGCACCTGCTCTGAGCCACCAGGCCACGGTGACCAAGAGCAGGCAAGGCTGTAAAAGATGGCGTTCCTGAATGGAGGAGCCTCAGCCTCCATTCAGGAAGGATTGTCAGGAAGGTGTCATCAGTGAGGTCACCCAATGACACCACAATCCTTCATTCCCTCCTCTTTCACTGAAGACCCCCTTACCTATTAGCTGAGAGTAAAACTTGGATGTCTCCAACAGCGAAAGCACGTAAACTGCGGGACTGGACAACGTGGCAATCACCACCGGCCCGAGGAAGGTCCTGGGGACGACCCCAGGGAACTCGAGATGGTCGTACTGTGAGGAGAAGGGCAGGTCAGCGCACAGGGCCCTGCGAGCTGGAAACAGGAGGTTTTCCCCAAAGACAGCAGGGCCTCACCTGCCCCAGGGCCTGCCGGTAGTAGAGCAGGTCATGCGTGGCCTGCAGGGCGAAGCTCTCCTCCACTTTGGTGTAGGGACAGGTGACCAGATGGATAGTGGCTATGGCCACCAGTAGCCCCAGCAGCAGGGGCCACCTGCCTGATGACCTCTTTCCAGCCATTTGGGGCTTACAACTTCAGGCACCTTCACAGAACCAAGGGTGCGAGACAGCAGCTGTTAGCACTGCCACTCCAAGGATGCTGAAAGAGTGAAAACACAGATTCCCGCATTCCAAAAGCCATGCTTGTGCTCCTGGTTGGGAGGTCTGGGTAAAAGGTTAGCAAGAATTCTGTCTTAGTCACACTACTACAAATCGCACTTGAGAGGCTTTCATAGCGTAACCAGTGATTGTGCACTGCCAGCTCTGTGACTGTTTTCCTGGGGAGAAGGGCTCAGTCGTAGAACACTGAGTCTGACCAGGCCTGGGCCATGAGATCAATGGAGAGTGTAAATGCCCCTGCCCCCCAGTCTAAATCTGGCAGGAAAGTCAGCAAAACCCAGGCTCAGCCCCAAGGGAACCTGAGGAAGAGGGAATGGAGGCTGAGGGGGGCTGGTAAGCTGGGTGGGAGGCACGAAGCCAGAGGGTGGCAGACAGGGGCCCCAAGAGGACAGGGGGCCGTACACAGCACAGCTGCCAGGACACAGGGCTCAGATGGCCAGCAAAGCCCCCACTCCCAGGAATGGTGAGGTGGGGCTGTGGATGCCTGCACAGAACCCCACCCTGGGGACTGGGAGAAGCCATGACTGGCTTTCCCAAAGGCGGTGCCACACTGGCCGTGAGCCTGCACAGGTGCCCTGGGGAGACTGGCAATGGGTCCCCTAAACACTAACAGGCCAACCTCAGGGGGCCCATGGCATGGCGCTTTCTGAGAAACCATCAACGTGTCCCCCTGCTACACGTGGGATGCCGAGGGAGGGGAGGTGGCAAGTTCTTCACGCTTCTGGCTTCTTTTAAAACAGGTTTGATTTTATTCAATCCAAACCAGAAGGGCCAGAAGCAAAGGGGGAGAGAACCCCAGGCTTTCAATTTGTTACAATTACTAAAAAAAAAAAAAAATTTAAGAGACAGTGTCTTACTCTGTCACTCAAGCTGGAGTGCAGCGGCGTGATGATGGCTCCCTGCAGCCTCAAACTCCTGGGATCCTTTTGCCCCAGACTCCTGAGTAGCCGGGGACACAGGTGTGTGTTACCACACTCAGCTAAGTTCTCTTACTTTTTTGTAAAGATGGGGTTTTGCTTTGTCACCAGGCTGGTACGGAATTCCTGGCTTCAGGCAATCTTTCCACCTCAGCCTCCTGAAGTACTAGGATTTCAGGCGTGAGCCACTGTGCTCAGTCAAAACTACCTTCTGATCAAACGGAGAGTTAAGAAGTCTACTGTAAAAAGATAGCATGCAAAAAAAAATCTGTAGATGAGAAGAAAGAGGAATCCTACTGATATGGTAGAGGTGGGAGTAAAGAGAAACAAGAGAGAAAGCTTTAATAATTTTACAATGACTAAAACAGTACAAAGTTCTTGTTAGAAATAGCGTAGACCTTTCTTTCCTTTGCCAAATATAAAAACCTGGGACCGGGTACAGTGGCTCATGCCTGTCATCCTTGCACTTTGGGAAGCTGAGGTGGGGTGGATCACCAGAGGTCAGGAGTTGGAGACCAGCCTGGCCAACATGGTGAAACCCCGTCTCTGCTAAAAATACAAAAAATAGCCGGGTGTGGTGGCACACGCCTGTAATCCCAGCTACTTGGGAAGCTAAGGCAGGAGAATCGCTTGACCCCAGGGGACAAAGGCTGCAGTGAGTTGAGATCGTGCCACTGAAATCCAGTTTGGGCCACAGAGCACAATTCCGTCTCAAAAATAAATAAATAAATAATAAAAAATTTAAAAAATTAAACTTGGTATCAAACAAAAAGATGGAAGGACTAGGTGAGGAGCCACTGTCCACCAGGTGAGGGAGGGGCTACTCAACTGTCTCCCACTTGCTAAGACACAAGTTTTTGACGGTGGGGGATTTTCTATGATGGATTTCTCTTCCCCCACCAGTGCAGCCTCAGCACCAAGGACAGAGACTGGCCACTGTGGTCTGAAGGGTGCCCCTCTGCCACCTCCCCTGCTGGACAGGCTTGATTGGTGGACTCAGCAAGTGCTGCTTCGCAGGAACCCCTGACATGGGCAGTCCTTGCCACCCCACTCCACGCCTCCACCCAGAGGATTTCCCCAGCAAATAAAAGTTCAGCTGTGGGATGAAAACGTTATGTGCGGACTCTGACCCTCCTGGCAGGCCCCGAGCACCTCCTCAGACCCGACACGGGTGTGCTTTCTGCTGACGACCAGTGCAGCTCACTTTCAAAGGCACGAGAAAACCAAGGGTGAGTCTGGATGCTCTGCCAGGGGCGCAGGAAGACCAAGTCAACACTGGCAAGTGTGAAAACCACGACTAAGTCCCCACCGGGCAAGGGTGAGTGGACGCTGTCCTGTGCTCTGGTCAGCATCTGCAGCTAATCTAAATAAAAGATGCCTTGGGAGTACCCACAGGTTAAAACAGGCCCAGGCCATGACGCTTTAAAACTGTGGTTTACAAACAATAGCCTCTCAGATTAGGGAATGACCTGCAAAGTCCCTCTTGTCCCATCAGTTCAGGTTTTTTGTTGTTGTTGAGACAGTCTCACTCTGTTGCCAGGAGCCAGGCTGGAGTGCAGGGGCACAATCTCGGCTCACTGCAACCTCTGCCTCCCAGGTTCAACCAATTATCCTGCCCCGGCCTCCCGAGTGGCTGGGACTACAGGTGCGTGACACCACGCTCAGCTAATTTTTTGTATTTTTAGCAGATATGGGGTTTCACCATGTTGGCCAGGATGGTCTCAATCTCTTGACCTCATGATCCGCCTGCCTCGGCCTCTCAAAGTGTTGGAATTACAGGCGTGAGCCACTGCGCCCGGCCATCAGTTCAGATTTTAAGGGCTCTACTGAAATTGGTCAAATTAGATCAGGTGTGGTGGCTCTACTAAAAATATAAAAATTAGCCAGGGTGGTGGCCGGCTCCTACAATCCCAGCTACTTAGGAAGCTGAGGCAGAAGAACCACTGGAACCCAGGAGGGAGGGTTTCCAGTAAGCCAAGATCACACCACTGCACTCCAGCTTGGGCAACAGAGCAAGACTCCGTCTCAAACTGGTCAAATCAGATATTACTGTTATTAATAACAATAATTAGCCTCAGTAGGAAACACAAATGATCCGACAGAAATCACACCTGCTGCCCACCAAGGGCCAGAGGAAACCGTGTTATCTGCGCTCCTTCCTTCCACAGGCAGGAGTTCTCTGAAATCCAGATGCTGCATATTTTATTACCTCTAATTTAAACCAGGGATTCCTGAACATTAGCGAGTGTCCATCACCTCAAGCGCCTGTAGAAATGCAGACCCCCAGCCTGAGGTGGAAGGTCCAGCCCCCAAGTGAAAAACCCATCTCCCACGTGAGGAGACCAGCCCCAGGTGGGAGTCTAGCTCCCAGGTGAGAGGTCCAGTCCCCAGGTGAG